ATGAGGATTCACCAAACAAGCTCTATACGTTGGTTACCTATGTACCTGTCACCACTTTCAAAAATCTACAGACTGTTAATGTGGATGAGAATTGCTGATTGTCAAATAAAGGTATAAAACTGCAGAAAAAAAAAATTAATGTTTATTTTATTTTTGAGACACAGACAGAGGCAGAGAATAAGCAGGGGAGGGGCAGAGAGAGAGGAAGACACAGAATCCGAAGCAGGATCCAGGCTCTGAGCTGTCAGCACAGAACCTGATGCGGGGCTCAAACCCACAAACTGTGAGATCATGACCTGAGCTGAAGTCGGACACTCAACCTACTGAGCCACGCAGGCGCCCCTTGGCTGTTTTTAAGTTTGGGCCAAATAAGACATAGCTATATCCTGGATATAGTACATAAGATACGACTTCTGGCTCAGGTAAAGGTTAAAATGCAGAGCAATGGAGATGGCATTCCCTTTTCCTATTATTACTTAACCACTGACCTTTGAAAAAGTAGTGTTGTGAATTCTTTAGAATCTGAAGAGTGGAAAGGGCTGATGGGTAGGCCTTTGGAGTAGACCAAAATTTGGGATACTTAAAATCCATGTCTTAAGCATTAAAATTGTACAGAAAGAGGCTTAGCTGCAGGATACATCTATGGGAAGTACATGGCATAAAGGTTAAATGCTCAGGCTTTGAAGTCAAAGAACTCTCCAAATATGTAGCTTTCTGATGATCTGACCCAATTCAAGAAACTCTATCATTCAAGTGACCTTTTATTACAGAAACAGCAAGTTACTTAATCTCAAACCCTAGTTTACTCATGTGTAGTAAATACAATGTTGTGAGGATGAATACATACTGTTCAGTACATTGATGTAGAGTTGCTTGAAGGTATCTTGAGTAGCAGTGACATAATCAAACAGATGCTTTAGGAGGAATAATCTGGGGGTTGTAGGCTGAATAGACTGGAGTTTGGAAAAAGGCAGGATTTGGAAATAATTTTAACAAAGGGAGTATCTAAATCTTGAAAGGTGGATGAGATCATCAATAGCATGTACACATGCAAAAGATGTTGATGACAGAACCATGGAAAGTGCCACCTAGAAGCAGCAGCACAAAAGGAATGTTCAGAGAGGTAGGAGGAAATAAAACCAACGAACCAGGAATTTCAATGCCATGGAAAACAAGGGAACATTTAACAAGGTATAGAGCAAAACCAGCCTCCACTTTGCCGAAATCTTATTCATGCCTGCATTTTGGCTGCCATGAAATAATTATCAACTTTGAGACAATGGCTATTTGAATTGTATTCAAATGATTTTACTAGGCACATGGACTAACAGTATAAAGGCATACCTCATTTTATTGTACTTTGCTTTATTTCTGCCCTTCACAGATATTGAGGCTTTTTTTATTTTTAAAGATTTTTTTCTTTTTTTTTTTAGGGGTGCTTGGATGGCTCAGTTGGTTAAGCGTCTGATTCTTGACTTCAGCTCAGGTCCTGATCTCACGGTTCATGAGCCAGAGCCCACATTGGGCTCTGTGCTGACAGTGCAGAGCCTGCTTGGGATTCTCTCTCCCTCTCTGCCCTTCCAATAAATTTGTAATTTTTTTAATGTTTATTTTTGACAGAGAGTGAGTACACATGAGCAGGGGAGGGGCAGGGAGAGAGGGGGACAGAGGATCCAAAGTGGGCTCTGCACCGACAGCATAGAGCCTGAGGCGAGGCTCAAAACATGAACCATGAGATCATGTCTTGAGCTGAGGTCCTACACTTAACTGAGAGCCAGACAGGTGCCCTGATACTGTGTGGTTTTTGTTTTTTTACAAATTGATGGTTTGTGGCAACTGTGCATCAAGCAAGTCTCTCAGTGCCATTTTTCTCATAGCACTTGCTCACATAGTGTCTGTGTCACATTTGCTAATTCTCAAAATATTTCAAACTTTTTCATTATTATTATAATTGTTATGGTGATCTGTCATCAGTGATTATGACTCACTGAAAGCATGGATGATGGTTAGCATTTTGCTTTAAAAATTGTTTTCTTAAAATTTTAATTTTTTTATTTTTTAGAGTTAAGGTATGTACATTTTTTTTTTTTTAAGTTTATGTATTTATTTTGAGAGAGTACACACGCTCACCTCTCTCTCGACGCCAGGCTGGAACTCACAAACTGTGAGATGATGACCTCAGCCGAAATCAAGAGTCAGACGCTTAACTGACTCAACTGAGCCGCCCAAATGCCCCTGTACAATGTTTACTAAAGACACAATGGTATTGCACACTTAATAGATGAACATAACTTCTATCTATATATAGGGAAACCAAAAAATTCATTTGACTCACTTTATTGTGACATTTACTATGTTATGGTGGTCTGGAACTGAACCTCCAAGTATCTGAGGTATTCCTGGTAACAGCATCTTAAACTTTGAAAAGATCTGGTTAGCTTATATACTTTCATACTTAATGCCAGAACCTTTAACCAAAATGTTAAGCAGGTGGTTATATTTGAACACAGGCACCAACTTCTTTCCAGTGACATTCATCTATTTTATTGTTGCAGTTAACATTTTCAAAAACTATGCTTTCTATAGATATTCATATTTGAAGATACTTCTAATCCTTTCTCTCCCCCACATCTCTTGTTCCTCCTGTGCTGTGGTTCTAACTGTAGAGTTTAGTTTCAAATTTTCACTACCTTGGTCACTCCAAGTTATCACTCAACAACAAACGCTCAGACAGGCACCTGGCTGGCTCAGACAGTAGAGCAAATGACTCTTGATCTCAAGGTTGTGAGTTCAAGCCCCACATTGGGCTAAAGCTCAGTTAACAACAACAACATCAATAAGAAGCAGCCCAGAACTGAACACCAAACTGAACGTTGGTGTGAACCAATGCTAAGGATATGTTTCTCTCTCTTTGGATATCAGATAAGGGACACAGGGAGTTCCTTCCAGGTTAGAAGTTCCAATGCTATCTCACCAAAATTAGCTGCTATTGGTAATGTAGGTTTGAACTTCCTCCAAACCCCTACCTTAAGCATTAACATTTTAAGATTTTTATTTTTTTTGAGAGAAGAGGGCAGAGGGAGAGAGAGAATCTCAAGCAGACTTCATGCTCAGTGTGGAGCCCAACACCGGGCTTGATCTCATGACTGCGAGATGAGATCATAACCTGAGCCAATGTATCAAGAGTCAAATACTTACCGGACTGAGCCATCCAGTCATATATATTGCCATATATAATGTGTGGCTGATAAAAAAAAAAAAATACTTAGAATACAAAATTTAAGATACAGTTTTGTAGGGATGCCTCAATGGCTTAAGCAGTAGAGCATGTGACTCTTGATCTCAGGGTTATGAGTTTAAGCCCCATGCTGGGCATAGAACTTATTTAAACAAATGTATACACAAAAACACACAAAATAGCTTTTGAACTCTAGAGTAAATGATGGTCACTGCTATAACACACATTTATTCAAGAATGACCAATGTACCACTCAATCAGAACCACCTATTCTTAAAGAAAAAAAATTCTAATTTGAATGATCTTATAGTGCTTGATAAAAATGCAATTTCCCTATGTGTACTGATATGGAATAATCTCTAGGACTCAGATATTTAAAGGAAAGGAAGGCAGGTGCAGAATAAGCCCAGTATGCAGCCATTTGTAAAAAAGCAAAGAGGTGTACACGTTCATGCCACATGCACAGACCATGTGTGGAAGGACATACAATGGAGAACACTGACTGCCTCTGGGAAGGGGCAACACAAGAGGCAGACCTTTTAAGCCATATATTCCTTTATACCTTTAAATTTTTAAACGTGTGTGTAAACCATCCATTCAAGTAAATACCTACAAGAAAGCCATCTTAAAATGTACAGCCTTGGGGTGCCTGGTGGCTCAGTTGGTTAAGTGTCAGATTCTTGACTTCAGCTCAGGTCATGATCTCACAGTTCCTAGGTTTGCGCCCTACATTGGGTCTGCGCTGAGCAAGAAAACATGGAGCCTGCGTGGAATTCTCTCTCGGAGACAGGGGACAGGGGACAAGGGAGAGGGGAGAGGGGAGAGGGGAGGGGGGGAGGGAGGGGAGGAGGGGAGGGGAGAGGAGAGGAGGAGAGAGGAGAGGAGAGAGAAGAGAAGGGAGAGGAGAGAGAAGAGCACATTCCTAATTAGGCTTATTCTGGCCCTCCTCAATCTTTTTAGAATGTTCTCCAGACTACTCTCATGGAATAGTCAAATTTGAGACCAATGCTATGAACATTATCTTTCTAGGACACTATAAAATTTGCCCTTTATTGGGAAAAATCTTTATTCATGTTTTTGTTAACAAGCAGGAAAAAATTACTTAAAATACTCTTGACTTACCAGAGATCTGGGGGTGCCTGGGTGTCTCAGTCGGTTGAGCATCTGACTTTGGCTCAGGTCATGATCTCACCATTCAGGAGTTTGAGCCCTGCATCAGGCTCTGTGCTGACAGCTTGGGTCTGGAGCTTGCTTCAGATTCTGTGTTTCCCTCTCTCCTGGTCCCTCCCCCAATTGCTCTCTTTCTCTCAAAAAATGAATAAACATTGAAAAAAACAATAAAAACTAGAGATCTTTTGCTATGCTGTTCATGCAGTTCTGCATTTTCAATTCTAACTTATCCAAAGAAACAGAAGAAATAGTAGTGGTGAAGAAAAAGAAAATTCTAATTTGGAGTGTATCATTTAAATGGAGGTAGGTGAGAGGAATCAATTTGTTTTATTATGGTCATCATTAAATTACTATAACAAAGTAACAGGGAAAGCCAGCCTGAGATGCAGAGAATAACTAATAATTAGTTACCAAAACAACTGATTCCAGAATGTATTATCAGGGTGATAACCAATGCCTCTTTTAACTAAAGTTTATAGTTTTCTTTAAAAAATTGTCAAAGCAGAAGATATTAACAAATCCAAGTTATTTCACACAAGATGGTTAATGTGGGTCTAGCCACAACTATGAAACCATTACATCATGCAAAAAATAAGTAGTACTGGAACATTTATTTTCATAAAAAATTTAAATGGCGCTAACTATAGCTCCTACTGAAACCTGACTCAATTTCAATCCTGTCACATAAGTGGATCTGTGATCTTTTGTTAGTTAGCCACTCTGGGCTTCAGTGTTCTCATCTGAAAAATAAGAAATACAGCACTGTCACTTATTCTTATCGCTATGATAGGTTAAAACGGGAAATGACCAAGCATGGTATGTTGTGTCATTAGTGCGTGACAAAATGTCAGTTCTTGCCTTCTCTCTCAAGAGAATTGTGAAAAACAAAATTCCAAAATTTTACTGGGCAACTAATTATTCAAAAGAGTAAAAGGAGACCCAGAAACATAAAAAAAAAAAAAAAAAAAGGCTTGCCAATGTTACACAGTATATGTGACAAAATTGGTAAAAAAGCCCAAGTTTCTCGTTCTAGTTCTCTGGTAGTCGTCTCCTACAGTTTCCTGGTTCTCTAAGGGTCCAGGGAAAGATTCTGACCAAATTAAGAAGTTAAGCCAATAGACTACTGAATTATAATTCTTCTGAAATTATGTGCTCAGGTAGCATAACAAGATGTAAGTACCCAAAAAACTTGACTATGGTTTTACTGAAGCATAAGTCATTTCAAAGCAAAAGTAGTTTATGAGTCAATTCTAACATATAATACATTTAAGTCATTATATGAATTTAAGTTTTTATTTGTGTATTTCACTGTAGTGCTGTGACAACAAAATGACATCTGTGTACCAGAGCATACATACATCAACAGTAAGATGTAACTTCTCATTACACCACTGCTAGAATATTTAGCTTTTTGTAGGACACATAAGCATGTAAGATGGCCACACCAAATAATTTTCTGGTTTTTCTCCTTAGATAACCTTAATTTTTTATCAGTAATACTTTATCAACCTCACTGTTAAGAGAACTGTAAATTATGTGGGTGATGGGCAGGGGGGAGGAATCATTCAACTGTGTTACACTGTAATAGTTTGCTAGAGTAATCTCACACACACCAATAAGGAACTGTCATCATAATTAAGGGCTAGTTACTGTTGTTAGTTGCACAATGATAAAGTTCTTTTGAAAATATTGGTTAGCCCACTTATATATGAAAAATGCCCTTTCCACTTATGCAGAAGAAAAAAATATTCAGAAAGTTATTTTTGGCCTTGCTATGTCAAAAAGTCAACTGTACAAAGATCTACGTGTCAAACCTAAAATTATAATTTTAAAAGTCTATTAAAAACAAAAATGTCATGCATTTTTATTATCAATTATGCAGAGGCTTTAAAACTGTTGCAAGACCATATAGTATATATTAGCTTTTATACTGCTAATGCACAACTAACAGCAAACTTGATTAGATTAACAGAAATCTGTCTTAATTACACCTTTATATATCACACTAGGGACAAATGCCACAAGATCTGCAGAAACATTCAGTTCTGAGCACTTAAATGGCAGGATAACTTTTTGTGTTGAAATCCGTCACATACAGAATAAAACAAAAAGAAAAAATTCTGCAGTTCCACGTTACAAAAAAACGTACTGCTGTAAAATATTAAGAAGGGCAAAGGATATCATCTATAACACAAAGTAACATCTAGTGTCAAAGAGCAAACAAAACTAAATAAAAATATCAAAATACACATAGCAACTGAAGCACAAATACTGCATTAAATACAGTAAAGATTTAATAAGACTAGTTAATAAAAGACACAAAAATAGGGGGAGCTAGGGCAACCAGTAAATAAAACCAAAATAATGGGGAAAAAATCTGAACCACTGTTTTTCCCCTAGTTGGAGCACAATTTTTTTTTTTGGGTGTCTTTCCATTCAATATAATACCTAACACTGTACATTAAGATATTAATGTCACAGAAAAACTTGGTTCTTCCATGAAATTCTTTAAATTCTTGATAAACTTTTCAAAGTAGACATTATTATGAATGAAAAACAACCAACAAATGGGCACCTGTTGTTTTTAACACTGCAGATTTACAGAAACTTTTTAAAAGTTATCATAATCTTTTTTGTCTTTTTTCCCCTCAGCTTCAAATCCATCGACTCCATCGCTATCCCTTCTTCGTTTCCTGTTGTTGTGGATGTTAAAACGTTGGCTCATTTGGGGTAATGGATCCATGCCTAGAACTTTGTGTATCTGGCGGAATGCAAGGAGTCTCAATGCAAACTGCAACAAAAAGAGCCAAAATTCAGAGTTAATTTTAAAGACAAAAATATTCATTCTTAACTAGGTTTAGGTCTCCATGTAACAATATAAAAAAGCATATTTGGTGAAATAACTTCAATAATATTAGTTTCACAACTGAAATACTGTGAAATACTGTTCTTGTTTTATATGTTCAGACTTTTCTGTATACATGCTATTTTGCTTTTTAAAACCTAAATTAAAAAATAAATCTTAAAAAAAATTCAGTATTATGTTCATTTGAAAAAATCTTGAGGGGCACCTGGGTGGCTCAGTCAGGTGAGCACCTAACTTCAGCTTAGTTCATGACGTCAGGGTTTATGAGTTCAAACCCCATGTCAGGCTCTGGGCTGACACCTTGAGGCCTGGAACCTGCTTCAGATTCTGTGTCTCTCTCCCTCTCTGCCTCTCCCCTGATTGTACCCTGTCTCCCTCTCTCTCTCTCTCTCTCTCTCTCTCTCTCTCTCTCTCAAAAATAAACAAACATTAAAAAAATTTTTTAAAGCCTTGAAACAATATACAGCAAAACAAAGTGTCTCTCACTCATGCAGTAAATCCCTGTTTGGTTTATAGTCATGTATTTTCCCATTTTTTCTGTGGATGACCATGTGTATAGGCTGCACATATATACATATACACACTTCCTCAGGTTTACAAAAAGGCCATTTCTTTAACTTGTTACTTCATGAACTAAAAATAAAAATTTCATTACATGGTTATGTACGCACAGGCATACGTTAGGCATCAATGTCACAAGATTTCACAAAACATAATCTATTCCTCAAATTTCTGGGAATAAACTAATTCAAGAAGATGTAATCATCTGATTATATGGCAAATTTTACTATATGGTTATAACCTTCAATGTAACTGTTTAGACTACTTCTTTAAAATGTTTACTTATTTTTGAGGTTGGGGAGGGAGAGAAGGAGGGAGACAGAGGATCTGAAGATGGCTCTGTGCTGACAGCAGAGAGTTTGATGCAGGGCTCAAACTCATAAACTATGAGATCATGACCTGAACTGAAGTCAGACACTTAACTGATGGTAAGCCACCCAGGCGTCTTTAGACTATTTTTTTAATTTTACATTTATTTATTTATTTCTGAGAGAGACGGAGACAGAGAGAGAGAGAGAGAGAGAGAGAGAGAGAAAGACAGAGAGAGAGAACGAACACACATGAACAGGGAAGGGGCAGAGAGAGAGGGAGACAGAGAATCTCAAGCAGATTCTGCGCTGTCAGTGCAGAACCTGACGACTTGGACCTTAAACTCACTACCGTGAGATCATGAGCTGAGCTGAAACCAAGAGTGGGAAGCTTAACTGATGGAGTCACCCAGGTACCCCAGACTATTTTTTTGAGATATAATTAACATATCCTAAGAATCACCCTTCTAAAATGTACAGTGTTTTTTTAGTATACTTAACAAAGTTGTTCAACCATAACCACTGATTTCAGAACATTTTCACACACAACTCGCCCCCCCCCCCCCGCCCCCCGCAAAACTATGACTCAATGGCAGTCATTCCTCAACCCCTTCACCCTTAGGTAGTGACAACCACTAATCCGCTTTTCTATGTCTACAAGATTTGCAGACTGTGGACATTTCATATCAATGGACTCCTACATTATATAGCTTTGTGTCTGACTTCTTTCACTGAATAAGGTTTTTAAGGTTAATCCATGTTATAGCATGTATCAGTACTTCATTCCTTTAAATGACTAAATAATATTCCGCTGTACAGAATATATACTGTATTTGTTTATTCATTTACCAGTTGATGGGCATTTGGGATGTCTCCACTTTTTAGCAATTATGCATAATGCTGCTACGAACATTCCTGTACAAGTTTTTGGGTGGACATGTTTTCAGTTGTCTTGGGAATATACCTCGGAGTCTGTTTTCCAAATGGCTGCTATTGGGAATATTTTTAATACCTGTTGATTTTCTTCAGCTGAGATACAGTTGTGTTATAGTCATCTGTGTGAGAATTTACTATTCTAAAACTTTCCCCAATTATATAATTTCAGTTCCTTAGAACGTTGTGCCACATTATATTGGCTTTTGAAATCCTAAAAGTCCCCAAATCATCTGTGTTCATAAGGACTTGATAAGGTATTCTATTTAGTTTGTAATTCTGGATTTTCACCAGTAGTGGGTGCTTCTCTATCTCCTTTAAGCTATAAGGCAATTTTCTGAAGCCAGAACTAGGAATATTTACCATAACAGAATACAAATTCTCTGAGAGAGACTTATGAAAGATAAACAGAGTAATTTTTTTCTGTATTAACAGAAAATATCCAAAGATACCTGGTATACAATAATGAATATTAATACATTTCTACCATAGGGCGCCCAGGTGGCTCAGTCAATTAAGAGTCTGACTCTTGGTTTTGGCTCCAGTCATGGTTCTTGAGTTTGAGCCCTGCATCAGGCTCTGTGCTGTCAGTGTGGAGCTTGCTTGGGATTCTCTCTCTCCCTCAATCACTCTGTCCCTCCCCTGCTCATGTGCACAACTGTGCACGGTCTCTTTCAAAAAATAAACTTTAGGGGTGCCTGGGTGGCTCAGTCAGTTAAGTGTCGGACTCTTGGTTCTGGCTCAGGTCATGATCTCGCGGTTCGTGAGTTCGAGCCCTGTCGGGCTCTGTGCCGACATCTCAGAGCCTGGAGCCTGCATCAGATTCTGTGTCTCCCTCTCTCTCTGCTCCTTCCCCACTCATGCTCTGTCTCTCTCTGTCTCTCAAAAATAAACAAACATTAAAAAAAAAAAAGATATTAAACTGTGCCATCACTGTAAGACTCCCTTTCTTGTAACAATCCCTACCCCCATCCCAAACTCCTAGGAAACACTACTCTGTTCTCCATCTCTGTATTTATGTTATTTTATGAATGTTACAGAAATGGAATAATGCAATTAACTCCTTCACTATTAACAAGGACACCTGTCACTACCTCCTAAAGTCAGACCACTTTCTTCGAAGTCATGTTTAAACAAAAAAAGTGGGGCGCCTGGGTGGCGCAGTCGGTTGGGCGTCCGACTTCAGCCAGGTCACGATCTCGCGGTCCGTGAGTTCGAGCCCCGCGTCAGGCTCTGGGCTGATGGCTCGGAGCCTGGAGCCTGTTTCCGATTCTGTGTCTCCCTCTCTCTCTGCCCCTCCCCCGTTCATGCTCTGTCTCTCTCTGTCCCAAAAATAAATAAACGTTGAAATAAATAAATAAATAAATAAACAAACAAACAAACAAACAAAAAAAGTGCTTTTCAAAAGTGAATTCTATTCGTTTTCGAATGCCCTGTTCCCAACCGTAAATTTCATTTCCCTTAGAATTTGTAAGTAATTCCTTCTTTAAGTACCAAGGAAGAAAGAAAGCCACTTAGGGTAACCATCTTCATCCCAAAAAAATTAAACCCAGAGAAATAAAAACAAAACTTGTCTAATACACACGAATTAGTAATTGTATAAAGTCTGTAAGATAATCATAAGCTTCTATTACTACCAATTACCCCTTAATATACTTTTGACACAATTTAATCTTAACATCTTTCAAATTCTAAATTACCCTTGCCAGAAGAGACAACAAATCAAGAACTTAAGCCCAACAACTTAATATCTTATAGTGAAGTATTTCTGTTTATAGCTAGTTGCCTTTTCTCCCCTTAGTACAATTTTGGAATAAAAAAAAGGAAAGTTATAGGAGTTTTAGACTTTTTTTTTCCATTAGGTTCACACAGTTTTTCCTTTCCATAATTCTTCTAATAAAACTGTTAACTGATAATAGCTAACATTTATTATGATCCTTCCATATATCAGATACAGTTAATAGTTATACACATTAACTCATTTAATCCTCCCCCAAATCCTGCTTGAGACAGATACTGCTTTGGTCTTTGTTTTATAGATAAGATGGAAGAGCTTATATTCAAACCTAGAGAGTCTTGACTCCAGAGACTACATTTTTAATTAACTACATTAGACAGCCTTTCCAGTGGCAGGGGAGGCTAAATTATAGGAATAACTACCAAAAACCACACAGCACATCACTTCTTAAAACCAGAGGACATAAACAGTTCCTAAACTGATCATGATATATAACCTAATATTCAGATTTAATAAGACACTGAAAATACAGATGTATTTTTATATTTATATAATATACTTACTTAGACATATAAATTATAGTTAAAATAATGCAGTTAAGATTATATTAGCGAAATCTAGTTTAAATTATATCTCCTCCAAGGGCTTACTAAAGAAGCACAAAAAAATACTATACATCCCAAAGAAGACATCCTATTGACTGACACATGAAAAGATACTCAACATCACTCATCATCAGGGAAATACAAATCAAAACCACAATAAGATAGCACCTCACACCTGTCAGAATGGCTAAAATTAACAACACAAGAAACAACAGGTGTTGGTGAGGATGTGGAGAAAGGGGAACCCTCTTACACTGTTGGTGGGAATACAAACTTGTGCAGCCACTTGGAAAAACTATAGAGGTTCCCCAAAACTTAAAAATAGAACTATCTTACAACTCAGCAATTGTACTACTAAGTATTTACAGAAAGGATACAACAACCAAAAAACAATTCGAAGGGGTACAGGCACCCTGATGTTTACAGCATCATTATTAACCAAAGGCCAAACTATGGAGAAAGCTCAAATGTCCACTGACTGATAAATACCCACACATGCACATTATGTATATATAAACACTACACACACACACACACACACACACACACACACACACACACAGCAATCAAAGAGAATGAAATCTTTGGGGACCCTGGGTGGCTCAGTCAGTTAAGCATCCGACACTTGTTTCAGCTCAGGTCATCTCACGGTTGCTGAGTTCGAACCTCAACTGGATGTATGGAGCCTGCTTCGGATCCTGGTGCGCGCGCTCGCTCGCTCGCTCGCTCTCTCTCTCTCTCTCTGCCCCTCCTCTGCTCCTGTGTATGAGCTTTCTCTTTCTCTCTCTCTCTCTCAAAAATAAACATTAAGGAAAAAGTTCTAAAGTATAAAAAAAAGAATGAAACCTTGCCATTTGCAATGTGGATGGAGCTAGAGTCAGTCAGAGAAAGATAAATACCATATGATTTCATTTATATGTGGAATTTAAGAAACGAAGAAGATGAACATATGGGAGGAAAAAAAAAAGAGAGAGGGAAACGAAACATAAAAAGACAAAGATAGATAACAAACTGAACGTTGATGGAGGAAGGTGGGTGGTAGATGGTGGTGGGTATTAGGAAGGCACTTATGATGAGCACTGGGTGTCATATGTCAGTAATGAATCACTGAATTCTATTCCTGAAACCAATATTTTACTGTATGGTAACTAACTAGAATTTATCTGTGTGTGTTTATTTACTTATTTTTTAAATTTGAGAGAGAGAGAGAGAGAGAGAGAGAGAGAGAGAGAGAGAGACTCTTAAGCAGACTCTACACTCAGCATTAATACTGCCATGGGGCTCAATATCATGACTCTGGGATCATGACCTGAGCTGAAATGAAGAGCTGGGTACTAAAATGACTGAGCCACCCAGATGCCCCAACTAATTAGAATTTAAAAACTTGAAAAGAAAAAAAAATACTATACAATGATTTCTAAAGGACAATCACAAAAAAAGATAAAACTTTGGGGCACCTGGGTGGCTCAGTCAGTTAAACATCTGACTCTGGTTTTGGCTCAGGTCATGATCTTATGGTTAGTTAGTTCAAGCTCCGCATAGGGCGCAGCACTAACAGTGCGAAGCCTGCTTGGGATTTTCCCTCTCTGTCCCTCCTTCTCTCTCAAAAATAAAAATAAAATGAACATTAAAACACACACACACACACACACACACACACACACACACACACACACACA